CGATTATGCTGCAAAAAAAGGATTTATAGTTTATTTATTTTTATACTGTAAATGCCAGATTTCGGGTAATTAAAATGTTCATTTTAATTTTTATACTTAAGTAAAGAATTAAAACTAAATTACCAAATTACCACTCCGTTTCAAGAATGCTTAGCATTTATTTTATAAAAATCATAGCGAGCCAACCACTAGAAATCATAGCGAGCCAACCACTTTGAATTAGAAGCTTAAATGAAGACGAATGTGAAGGTATCTTCCTCGTTTAACGTCAATAAGTAATAATTAGTATCGCAGATTTAGGACAGCTACAGTATTAGGGTAATTAATTTTTTTGCCTGTTTTTGAAAAAAAAAACTATAAAAAATAGCATTGGAAATTTTTTGCCATATTCATTATTATTATTCTCTGCTGACAAGCATATTAGCGCTTTGCACTAAATGCTCCAGTAGCAGCACCCGTTTCTGCAAGTCGCAACACGCCTTTGGCACCAGTAGCAAGGTAGTGCCAGTGTTTTTCGATTGTTGGTCATGGTAAAATCAAAACAAAATCTTGGACATTTTAAGGACATCTAGGACAATTTTAGAACAGAAATTTTACGCTTATAACAGCGTCGCCCTATCTAATCTATGCTTTCTGACGACTTTAGTTAATTCAAAGCGTGCTCCCAAACGTCACTGGAAAAAGCTACGGTCCTCCCAGACCAAAGCATCGCCTCTAGTACGAGCACTGCGATAATTTCACGTAATTTTGGTTTGGGTTTTAGGACAAATAGGATATTTTACGACTCGACTTGCAGGCTTTAGCCGTCCCCCCACAGGCGTCCAATGTGCGTGATCCAAACGCCTTAGAACAAACGGTAGCAAACCCGGTAGGAGCGAGGTAGCTATTGGCAGAACTCCAATTGGAGATTTTATGAAGAGCTCAAAATGTTCAAATTTTGGAACTTCATCTTTCTTGTCGAAATACTAAAAAGTATGTGTACCTATGCTCGTTAAGTTAAATAAAAACATTAAAAATCCAGAGTGATACCGCTTAAAATGTAACATTCGATCCAATGTTCTAGTTTTGTTTTAGTTTTCAAATAATGTAAACGCTAACAAACTTGTCTCGAACTGGTATTCCACGGAATCAATTTCTTTCACTTGTAGAACTAGTTCCCATTGATGATGGGGTTAATCCACGGAAGTGCAGCAGACACTCGCGAGTACACCCTAGGGACTCCCCCTGTACCGCAACCGTAGCCAGCACTATTCACGCCAATCAAAACGTCATCTGCATCTCCCTCCTTGTTCTCCTTGATCAACGGGTCGCCCATGTCGCCAGCACAAGCGTCCTTGCCTGCGACACCACCAGCACACATTTCTGAAGGGAAAGAAATGTCGGTGAATACATCGGCGCACTCCTTATCCCCCCACACTTGCAACGCCACGCTTCTAAGTTCTAGAGACCAGGTCCCGTTTGGGTAGGAGGCAACACCCCACCCCATAGTGGTTGCCCATTCCCCTTTCTTGCCGTCTGCGTTGTTTGGGAAGTTGACTGGGGTATATTTGCTGGCTCGTTCAAGCTTTAATATTGCGAAATCCCAGGGCGAGTTTGTAACGTTGATGTTGAACTTCGGGTGCAAATAAGTCTCGGCGATTTTGATCTGCTCGCCGTCGCCTGGCACTCCATGTTCCGAACCGTTGATGTAGTGGGAGCCAATAGTTACGTAGCTGACCTGTCTCCATTCACAATGCCCAGAAGTGAGCACATGGGTGGGGGAGACAAGGGCACCACCGCAAAACGATGCGCTGTTGGCGGAGGAGCGAAGGCCGACAGTGTATGTCTTTTTACCGATCGGAACGACTTGTCCACCGAGGATTGCAGTTGCCACGCCGAATAGGAGAGATATTGCTACTATTGCAGACGTGAACTTCATGATAGTCCGTGGAGATGCTCGAGGACCCGATATTAATGCGTCTTGGAGATGGTGAAAATGGAAATGCCATTAGAGTAATGCTTGGTAGTGTAACATGTACATGGTTTGCCATCGTGACCATACGCGATGACAACGCTATCGATTGTGACCAATCATGTGACCAATCTTATGGCCATAGTAGTACATGTAACGGATTTTCCCGAATAGAAGCCGGTCTTGTAATCCCCATAAGCCCCTAAAAATCAATCAATTTTGACGAGGGGACTTGTAAACGGGTAAGGGCTTGTATTTAATGAAAGAAAAATTTTCTTCAATGGTTGTTCAGTACTAAAACGATATCTAAGCGTCTCCTAACTACGCATTACTCATCAACCAGCTCAACGTCATCCAATGCGTAAGCAAGTTCATCATCCACATCTGAATCCGTGTTCTCCTCTTTCTTCTCTTCTTCATTCTCCCATTCGCGCTGAAATCCTCTTCCGTAGACATCGTGACGCCAAATAAACCATTCCGATTCAATCGGAGAAAATCCGGCCGCAGCTACAGAGTAGTCAATAGTTTCTTGATCAGTGTCCTTCCAGGCCTTTCGCACCCACTCGCACGCGACTTCAGCGCTCGGTGGCCTCGGGTTTCCGGCGCGAGTGTATTCTACAGCGTCAGAGTTCTTCCACTCGTCGATATAGTTATACAGAATGTCCTTAAACTGCTTGTAGATGCCAATATCACCAGCTTGGAGATATGCCGTCAGCCCACCTGGAATAACACACATAGCAATATTACGGTCTTTGCATTTGGCCTTTACAACACGTGATATGTGCGCGCGCATTGAGTCCCAGACAATGGTCTTTCCTTCCGCCTGCAACACCTTAGGAAAGACCATATC